TCCTCAGGAAGACTGCAGGAGTTCACTGGGGAGCCTCAGTTTTGAAAATACCATGCGGTTCTCCTGACCTCTTCAAATAGGTAATGGAAAGTAGCCACTGAACCATGGCATATGGCAAAGCCAGTATTGATGCCAGAGTAGTGGAGACTATGTCTTTCAATTGCATGATTTTTTTCATTCCTAGTATGTGACGGAGTCCAAAGGATGTCTCTGTGCTCAGTAGTCAGTGCTGTCTTTTGCAGAGCATGTATGAAAAATCTCCACTGAAGTATAACACTGACTTGAAAAGAGAGAGAAAAGTAGGCATCCTTGTGCTCTCCTTACCTCTGTAAGGACAAAGCAAAACCTAGTTCCTCTTCACCTGTGGCAGCGAAGAAGAGCACAGTTATGATATTTTTGCAATGTTTCTGTTGCTTAAAGAAATAGTAAGTAGCAGGTAAAGTGCTCTTTCCCTTGGGGACCAATTACTTCAGAGAATTATATCCAGTAACATTGGCAAAAGTCTCTCAAATAATAACTACTGTGATCAAAACGTTAGTGTAAGCCCAAATACCAGAGACTGAAAAGAAGGCCAACGGCTGCATGCAGTAAAAAGAAGACTGTGCTTTTGCTCAGGGAGTATTAGTGGCTCCACTGACATACCTGCTGTGTGGTAGGACTTGTTTCCTTGAAAAAATAACCCTGCCAATGACCACTGAAAAGGCTTGTGATTATTCCCATTTTTCATTTCTAGTTTGTAGGTGAACCTCAGATTGAGCAGCAGCACTGCCTGATATTCCCTCTTGAATTGACATCCTGGCTGTTGGTAGCCTGTTGTACTCCCAGCCTTATTTATTGTGAGGGATGCACACACGCTTGGTGTGCGGGTTCAGAAGATGAACTCTGCCAGTGCAACATCAACCCCTATTAACAAGCAGCGATGCCTCTTGCAGTTTAAACGCAGGTGAAGTTGTTAAGTGAAGGAAGCTAGTGTTGACTTAGACAAGGTGCAACTGTCTGGGTAACAATGTGAGTGTATTGTTAAAGCTTTGGATAGACAAAAAATTGAATCCTACCTTTACTAAAAAAAAAGGTATTGTGCAAAATGATTTTGTTTTGGGATGCAGAATGGCCCTCAAGTTACTTTCAGAGAAAGATAGGTACAAAGAGCCTTTTCATGCAACTGTGAATGTTACTTACTCTAACATTGCTTCGTTCACTTGGTACAAGTAGCATCTCTTTCTTTTCTGTTATGTAAAGCCATAGCAGCAATGATAGATTGGGATTCTAGACTTATGTCAGCCTCAGGTAAGCTTGAATCCATAGCTTCTGCTTCCCAGAAAGGGACCTAAGCTCTGACGATGAGAAATGAAACACAACTGAAGAGAATACCTTGCTGTTGAAGCACCACCATTATCTTGCCAGAAGAGCAGTCCTGGGATGAGGAGGGCCTATCCAGGGAGTCCTGGCCTGTTCAGGCATTGCTTATTTGGCACATTCGGACATAGGAAGAATCCTGAGAAGTAGGGTCAGTATTGATTTTCTTCCAATTGATTTTCTTCTTATTTGTTGTCACTGGTGACAAATACATCTGTCTTATGTTTTGCTAACCTGGTAAGGCCAGTACAGCTGAATGAGGCATGTCAAATTCTCCATGGTGCATCTTCTGCAGAAGTGTTTACTAGGTCCAATCAGCTGCTTTTATCTGACAGCAGCTTTTCTTCAGGTACAGGATATAACCAGCATCCTAATTTGGTCCTGACTTTCATTAATGCAGCTGGATGGGGAGGAAAAGCCTGGTTCAACACTCAAATTCCAGATTGAGTTGGCAGGTATAAGGACACATCTTACTTGCAGGCTGAGCAAACTTGAGTTTGGAAATCTCTAAAGCATGAAGCTTGAATTCCAAGAATTTTTACAGCCACTTTTCAAATGAGAGCTCTATGTTGGTGTTTACATTGAAAGTTTCCCCTGGGCTTTTAGCTGTAATAGCATTTGCTGGCTCTTTTTTTCCCCATCTGTAGGCTGAGATTAATGTGGTATTATGTCACATTTTTCAAATGAATTGATTTAGTAGTTTAGCATAAAACATCGAAGTTTATCTTCCCTCATTAGTCACACTCATCTGCCATTGCCCTCCTAAACATGGTCCTACACAATGTAAACCAGCAGAGCCAGCTGGGCTGATTGTGCAGTTTGCTAGAGCAGAGCATGAGTGCTGCAAGAGGTGCACTCTATGAGTAATAACCCAAGCTGCCAATGACAAATTCACATTGCACAGTCTCTTCCTTCATCTCTTCTAATGTCACCCCTTGACATTAAGCCTGTTGTTGAGAAAACACTGCTCGTGTCTTGGGCAAACACCAGAGATTAGCTGGAGTTTGTACCCTAGCTGTCAGGTTAGACTTCTGTGCTCTTCTATGGGCAACCTAGTGGGAACTGCAGAATATGGCACGAAGGATCATCCTGTACTTCTCTTTAGGTGGGCAACAGCTGGTCAGAACCTGACAGGAATGTAATGTAAATGTAATGCACATCTGGTAAAACAGGATGGTGTCATGACTCGATGGGACTTTTGGAATAATGCCGTTATATGCCGTATCTTCTGCCAAACTATGGTAAATCAATAGTTTTATCTACATTTAGAAAACCTCAGATTTCATTTTCCCAAACCAGTCTCATTTCTAGAGGATTGGTTACCAGGAATTTTATGAGTAATTCCTGACACTTGATACAGCCAACAGCGTTAATAATGCTTTTACCCCTTTATCACTTTGTTATTGAACCTATGAAATATAGGGGTTTTATATATATATATATATATATATATATAATTTTTTAAATTGGGATTTTAATGTATCTTGAAAGCTATTTCTTACTGGCCATGTAATGGTATTTTAGAAACAACACATGGAGCAACTTGCTGTGTAACTTGAAATGAACAAGACTTTCATTCAGTGTTTTTTGGCTAAAAACAGCTTTCATACCCAAGCTAGCATGGCATCTGTACTACTACCTAAGTATTATATTAATGCTGAAATAAATGACAAAAGTTATCTGAAGTCATATATAATCAATAGGCACAATAATTTGAGTTTCTCATTCATAGAAATAACAATGCTCGCTTTTTAGTAATGTGATACTCATCCTATTTTCACACTGTCAGCACTAGGTGATATGTGAGATGATATAATCTAATACAATAATGCTTCCTGTCGTAACTGTTTTTAGCAAAATAAAATTATCCATGCCAAATAGAAAGATGATATAATTACAGTAAAGACTGTATTTATCATTGGAAGTCCTTCATGTATTCAAATATAGAGACCAGGATTAAATAAAGTGCTCGGGATTGTGTGCATAAGGGATTTGTGGACTAGGGTTATTTATTTAGTACTCAAAATTCAATAACCATTCTATAAGAATAGACCAACGCATGAATCTTTTCCCAGACCTATTCCAATCTGAAGTCTGAGTCCTGGAGATGCTTTGTAGGTATTGTGGAATGTCATGAGACCAATTCCTCTATTTATATGTCACCTCATCTTTGTGTAAGCTGAGGATCATGCTCAAAAGATTTAGTCATGAGAATAGATGTTTCCAGGGTAAAGGCATCTAAAACAGATAACATTTAGACTTTTAGACTCCATAGCTCTGTGTACAGAACATCTTCATTTCTTGGAAGTACACTTTTTTGTTTGTAGTGCAGTGCCTCTGTGTTCATATCAAACAGCCTTATGAAAGAAATGCTTATGGGAACACAGTGCAGTTCTTGCTCACAGTGAAAAAAGGTTCAGAGAAAAAAAACATGCAGAGACACAAAATCGGGTGCAGAGGTGGGTTTGGAGGTTGTTTTTTTCACATATCTGGAATAATGAAAGCCTATGCAGAGGCATTTATACTAGCAAAGCAGTTGTCCTTTTTGCCATCCGTGATTCTAGTCAAGAATTTGCTGATAGAAACAACATGTGAATTAGATGGGTTGGTGGTGGAGCTTTAACAGTAAGTTGTGTCTACCGTTGGTCAGGCTTGTATTCCACTGGGCTCCCCAGGCTGCCCTATGGATCGCAGGGCTGCCCAGAGGTTTGCTGGTGCTGTGGCTGCACTCGTCTGTCTCTCCTGAGTCCTCGTGGCAGCATGGGGTTTCTGCAGTTGTGTCTTAGGCAGGGAAATGCTCCGGTAACCAGAAGTGGGCTTTTATGGACTATTTCATGGCATCCACAAAGGCATATAATGAAAATGAGACTTTTCTACTGTTTAAAAAGGCTACTCCAGCCACTTCTGGATTGAAGTTTTCCCTCTGATAATGTGTCGTGGGTTCCTAGGAACCATAAATTGCCTAAAGAATTTGCACAAAGTCATGCACTAAGTTGATTCTGAAGGGAAATATGCTGAATCTTCATTTCTTCTTCTGAAATTCATCTGATCTCATTACAGCAAAGCAAAGAGAAGCAGCTACCCAAACACTGCCCTTTTCTGAGGTTCTCTCATTTTCAGGTTTATGAGCCATTAGCCATACTAAGACTTTCTGTTCCAGCAGACTTGGTACGCAGATGTTGTGTGCAGGTTTTTCTGTAATGAACATATAAAAATTTGAAGTGATATACACCAGTGTTTCATCTGGTTTTACTGGATAGTTCCAATCCTGGGATGTGGCTGAAGCTTACTGCAAAGCTCCTATGCGTTCACGAGGACAGGATCTGGCCCTGTACATGCTTACCTTTGTTTTTCTCTCCTTAAAACTGTAATTAACTGATCAAGTGATACAAGCTGTGGGTGATGCTTGGATGCATGCTTTGTGTGCATTATGTTACCCTGCATGCAAGAGGCATAGCACATCTCACACGTACAACATGCAGCTGCTTTCCAAAGAACCTCTTGTTCACAAGACTGCCAATGGCAGAGTCAAATCATCATTTGTGCTGAGATGAACCCCACTTGGCTGCAGTGAGAGGCTCCAGAAGCTCAGTTAATACTCAAAAATTGGCCCAATGATACAAGTTTAGGAATGAGCCAGCGCGTTGGATTCACATAGAATCAGTTTTATTGCCAGGTAAGAAATTCATATTAATATAGTGAATACATATGTTTACAAATAAACATTCTTAAAAAACAAACAAACATTTTATTGTAGGAAGTATTATTGGTATCATAAACTCTGTAGTTAACAAGTATTAACACGGGTTTACTTACAGAACATACAGTTACTAAAATATTTCCACATAAAATATGCTCAAGTTACACGAAACCTGTGTGAATTAGAGTGCAGCTGTAATGTGTATCTAAAGCATATGGATTAACAGCAACATTCCATAAAGGGTCAAATTAAGTCAGCCAGTTGTGAAGGCAATAAAGATTAAAGGAATGAAAGTAAGGTAGTGAAGAATCTGGGTTGTGTGCAAAGTATTTGTCCCGTGGGCTTTGTCCACTTCTGATAGTCTTAAAAGGTATGATCATACAATTTGGCAGCACGCGTATGGAGAGATGCCGGTGCTCTCAGGATGCAAATCAATCTCGATATAGCTAAAAAAATGGTCTCTCCATTTAACCACATTTCAGATTCTTAGCCCTTGCATCCTTGACTAAGAAGCAGCTCTGCCAGTCAGTTGAGTACAGCAAGAAATGCCACTTCCAGTTCTTCTTACAACATAACAGTTCTCACTGCTCTCTGCATACTCTTCCAAAACTAATCTCCAGAAGAATCGACAGGTGGTGAGAACGCAACTGTAGTGAGACAGCTAGTTAGGATTTAGCCAAATTACTTGTTTTGGGGGAAGGGCAGGAATTTAAGTGAAAGACTGAGTGCGTTGCCTGCCATCAGGCTGTTGCAGCACCGCCCGCCTATCCCAACTCTGCTTATCTCTTTGTGGATGTGCCGAAGCCTTTACAGGCCCAGCACTGTGAGGCTACTACCAGTGCCCAATTCAAGAGTGCTTTTACTCGTAGGAACAAGGCATCCTGCTCATCAAAACCGCAGTCAAGACCATGAGTCCAATTGTTTGTTTAGTTAAAACCCAGATCTCTTTGACGTTTGAGGCTAGTCTGTTAGCCTCTTCCACCAAATAGTCCACCGAGAGGGAATGCCACTATAGAAAGCCAAACGATAGAGACAATATACCATATAACATTTAGTTGAACTACAAAGAACTACCATGGCTAAAAGCAAATACAAAATGAGAGACTAGAGGGGAAAAGTTTAAATTGGGAAAATGGAGGGGCTAACTAAATAGTCTTGACTGTGCAACCACTGCATGGAGATGTAGTCCAGTTTCCCTTTGGGACAAACAAAGGAGGCTGAACAGGGCACAACCCTTGTCATCCTTAGCAAAACATGAGGAAATAGCTTAAAGGAACAGAGGGGTCACTTTGAGAAACAAGACTGTCATTGAACAATAGTAATACAGTAAAGGCACCACCCACGCTTAATTTCAGTCTGAAGCAGTTGAAGATAGGCAAAACATTTAGGTGAAGAAAAAGTCCTGACAGTCTGCAAAGTGAGAATTGTTACCGTCTGCCAGAAAACAGGAGGACTGAGAGGAAATATTCTGATGCCCTTATTCCCCCAGCAGCTTTCTGTGTCATGTGATATGTCTCTTCTTATTTTGGAGGTTCCCAAAAATTTCAAATCAAACGAAGTGAACTGAAATAAAATCTTCTGCTGTTTGTTATCATCCTGCAGAATTCTCTACCAGCCAGAAAGGTCCCATATGCTCTTATTCATAACAGTCTTCATAAATTCCTTGTGAAAGAGTCTTTGTCCCTTATTGTATATATATTTTTTGCGCTTTCTAAGGTATAGTGTGAAAGTACAATAATAGAAGTTAGGGGTTGTACCAAGATCCTTGCTCTTGGCTTTTCACAGGTCTAGTGCTTATTAATACGTTTTATAGAAAATTCCTCTCTGAAATAATATATTACAGTATATTGTTCTCTCTTTCTTCCTCTGTCTCAAGGCAGGAACATAGTGTAAATGTTTAAGCAGACATAAGGTTTCTCTAGATTGTGCTACTTCTCATCATGGATTTTAGTTTCAAGTAAAAAAATTTAGTCACAAGGGTTTGTGTTCCATTGTGAAATACAAATGGAGTTTATAATTCAACCTTCAGTGTGTATTGCTGAATGGTATTAACCCACTCTTCGGTCTACAGTTGGCTGGATACCAAGAGTGTCCAGGTGGAAGTTCCTTCCTTCCTTCTGTTTGCTTTTTTTATTTTTATTTTATGTTTTTGAATTTATTTTTTGCCTTTCAGTTGAGTGTTTGTGTTGTATGTGTATTTGTGTGTGGTTTTTAAAGGATTTCATTTAAAAACAAAACAAAAAAAAGAAACTCAAACAGTTACTTCTGTCTTGCTGTTAGTTATGAAGTATGGCTGTGGGCCCAAATAGTGCTGGCTCCGGGTTGTCAGTGGGTCGCTTAACGTTGGGTCTCCCATCCCATGTTTCCCCTTGTTTGTGTAGGCTTGCCGTCTAAGAGACTGGTCGTTCGGATCCCAGGTCTTGTAGTGGGAGTTGTAACCTAATGGGTGTGTGTGGATCTTTGCAATTTTGGATTTCTGCCCGTTCTGTTTGGTTAGGCCACTGTCGATCGTGTAAGCTCTCTCTTCATCTAGGCGCACTGGATGGAGTGGCAGGCTCCCCTTGGCAGCCAGTTCTGCAAGATGTCGGCGTTTGGTGTAGAAGTCATCGTTGACTTTGTCAGCTATTAGGATTTAAAAGGGGGAGGGAATAAAAAAATCAGTTGGACACAAGAGAAATGTTACACAGTTTACAGTGTGTTATGCACAATTATATCTGTGGACCAGTTACAGGTACATCAATGGGAGAAATCCATGCCACCTCCCACCCCTTATTTTCTCCCTGTAGTACATTTTTGGATGCTATTAGACTAGACTTTTCATATATGCAGACAAAAACTTGTTGCACTTTAACAGAAGATGGTCCCTGTCTCAAATCACTCAGGTTGTGCTGATATTTCCATTATGGGACCGGGTCCTATGAATCTTACCGCTGTTCATCTCACATAGCATAGGAAGTTGTGAAAGTGTTCAAAAGCATACAGAATTTCTTGGAAATATTGGGGCATCTTGGGATGCTCTGTTGTATTAGAGTCCATCTCTTTGAATGCAAAGTGTCATGTGGGTGTTTAACCAAGCCAGTTGTAAGATTCAGTGGCGTATGAGGTAGATCCATTTCTGTTGAACAGTACCTTAAGGCAAATGGAAAAATGGGATGTGTTGTTCCAAATGGTTGAAAGTTTGCTAATGCTTTATGGGGTCAAAAATATTTGGGTTGCTGAAGGTTAGGTATTTACCCTGTCATTTTGCAGACAATGAAAACCCAAAATTCCAGGTTCTGACATTATTTTCTGGGGCCAGTACCACAAAGAAATACAGCAGTAGCTGTGCCGACAAATACTGCATTGCAGTTCTCAAATTAGGATTTTGCCCTCTGTGATTTCCTGTGTGTCTTCCAGTGCGTGCCTTTGCTCAAGCTTGATTGTTGTTATTGCTGGCATTTATTTGGCCTTGCTTAAAAGTATGAGCCATGCTCAGGAAGCTAAAGGCATTCTGCAGCGGTCCAGCAACTCATTTAAATTTTGAGACTGAGTATCAGGGTTTTAAGGGGAGCTTAGCTGAATTTCATTTTTTAAGGTCTTGCCTTTTACGTAAACAGAGTTTATTTACCCACTTCAAAAATCTAGATTTTGATTTAAGATAGTGCCAAATATGTAGATCAGCTAACAGAGTGGTGTGTTAATCAGCAGCGGTGTGCCTTGAATATATGATTGTGTCAGCCTGGATTTGACTTTTGCTGTGCCCTGGCTAGATCTATCCATTTTCGTGGAAGCTATGCCACGTAAGGCTTCTCTGCAGAAGTCTTGTACAAGTAGCTGTCTGTACAGCTCAGGTCCTCTTGTCTTCACTATAAGTAGGTTTTTAATTCCCTGCACTGTTTTTGTTTATTTTCCTTCTTTTTCTTTCTCCCCTGTATTGCTAGGAGGCTTTTGTTGCACGCTGAATTTTCTCCTCTCTAATTCTGAAGTGGATCTTTATGCAAGGTGGTGAAATTCCCATGAGCACCACATTAATCTTCAAGATCAGACTTCAGTTCTGGATCCGCCTTGTCCTGCCCCCTCAATGGGGAGGAATATTATCAAAAGTAGTTGCTGCTTATAATCTCATGATATTTTTTGTATAATGCCTGTATGACCGGACTTTGATTTTAAATCCTTAATTTTGTCATTAAAGAGGTGTTTTGTCTTCAATGAACTGAAATTGCTCGTCTGTGCTGTGAAATTAGGCTTTGTATGTTTTGCCCATCTCCATCTGTCTTTTTTTAATCAATGAGTGAATGCTTTTCTATAGCATACAGGTGGCTTCTGTTTTCAACAAATCACATAATGTACATAATGGCCTGTTCTAATTTCGGTACAGGATGTGCAGTTCCAATTGCCGATAGACCTGTAATGTGTTACAAAAAGAACCTGTGAAGTTCTGCTTTGATTTTGGGATGAGTTGTTTTATTTAGAGATCTGTAATCTGAAGTTGTATCTGTTTCTCTTTGGAAGAGCTTTTTCCAGTTCTAAATGTGGCTTGTCCTTTTAATTGGTTGATATTCACTGAATGCTACACAACAGTATATAATACAAGTTGAATAAAAACAGGATGGAAGTGCAGTCTGTATTGCTAATTTCTCATTAGTCTGTTATCAATAATTGGGAAAAACAGTTGCAGAAAAGCCGTATTGAATATCCACACAAGTATTTATTCGTACAAATTTTTACATCAAAGGCACTGCAAGTCAGCTGTTCAGGGGAGAGAACTTCTGTATCTTATGACTTAGACCTTGTCTGTATAAGAAAAGTCACGCTAGCTTATGTAATTTAAATTCAATGTAGTTAATTATGTCCAGCTCCTAATATAGATACATTTGTCTGCCTATTTCACATTTAAATTGGTTTAATTTGCATAGAAAAATTAAAAACTAAGTTAATCTCATGTAAGGATAGAGTAAAATTGTAATTTTGTACTTTTAATTTGATCTTCGTTAAGCTGCAGGAGTTTGTATAACATAACCAAGATCTTTGATGATCAATTACAAGGTAAATAATTACTTTTGTTTAGAAAAATAACAGTGGTCATGCAGTTATGGAAATAATAACCAAAAATTGCGGTTATTTGCATTGCCTGATTTTTTCATGCCATTTTTCTCTTTTATATGGCTAAGTGAAAAAGGCCACAACAAGCTCAAGCTACTTCCTTAGTTTCTTCTTATTTTTTCCATGGCCAGCAAAGGTCCTGGATCTCTGAATTTTGTCAGAGATTAAATACTTTACTCAGATCTCCAAACACATCAAGATTGGTGTCCTCACAGAAGAGCAAATGGTATTACTGTTGCATATAAACAACTCCCCCAGTGTAAAAACTAAGCAAGGAAGAAATCAGCCTCAGAAAGACTATGCCTATGACACATCTGTGAGACTGATTTTGCTCTTTTTTGTGCCATGTTATAGGTAAGATTTTCAGGTCTTTATGAGAACAAACCAGGCTTTGATCTATAAATCCTCGTCCGCAAATTCAAAGAAAGGTGGCAAATGTATGATGAATGGCTGATTGCACGTGTTTTGTGTGGCTGTGACAGTGTGGGAGAGCTGCTGTTTGTATTTGTCCTGATCAAATAATAGTTTTCAGGGTTTTGCCTGAGAATTTATTATGTATGCCTAGGAGTTAAATGCTAACAGGGAAAGCCAGTCTCTTTATCTAATGTTTTAACCTCTTTAAATCAGCCTTACAGCATGCACGTGCAGGCTTGCACATAGGCGCATGTACCAGAATTGGGTGGGGGAAAATACTATTGTGGCAAATATATAGCAAAAAAGCATTGATAAAACCAAAGTGTTCAGTTGTTCAAAAGGGCTTTTGGCAAGTCTTGAAGCAGTCCTCGTTCTTGTATACTGACTAGATTATAGGTTTTATAACACTAGTTTGCAATGCCCCAGTGTGAGTAACCTGATGCTAGTATAGTGCATAACAGGGGTTTTTAATTCTGGTTTTCAAAGTAAAAAAAGATTCAGAAGAGTAACATTGAGCATGATTTTGTAACAAATATTTTATCAAGAAAAAAATATTTATAGTATCCTGATGCCAGATACTTTAAAAATCAACTGTGAATCTCAGGACTTTAAACATGCAAAGAGACATTTTGGAGTTACATGGTGGCTTTAATATGTGACCTTGGGTACGTGACTCAACTTTCCTCTGCCTTGGTTTCACCAGCTGTAAAATGAGCTGTTAATGCATTGCAGGAGGTAGTTAAGTGTTACGAAGATTAATTGCTAATTGTAGAGTATACTGAGTTTTCAGATGAAACGTGCTATAGAAGTGCCTTTTGCATTAGCTTCTGTATATAAGTCAGTAACAGGATTTAAAGGTATCACTGTTGTGTTTGCAAAATGAGTAAAGAACTAGAATTAAAAATAGCTAAAGAACAACAATAAAAGAAATGCTTTAATTCTGAGTGTGATTCTTTGTGTTCCCTCCCTCCAGTCTTGGCAGCTAATTACACTAATGTTCTCAGTTTCAATATTTTTGTAAGGTTTTTACTCCTTTAAGGTAATGCACCCACAAGTTTAGTTACTGTTGTAGCTGTTCATCTGGAAAAAATGTTGAAATATGATTTTTTTCCAACCTAAAGCGTGTGCCTGGGAGGGGGGAGAGCTTGCTCTTTTGTTCCTGCTGTGCTTAAAATGAATAACTGAAAAAATATAGAAACAGTGAAAGGATCAAAAGCAGAGCTCCTCCTCCCCCAAGCTGAGTTTCTTAACTATTGAGATAAAGAGATGCTTTCTCTTCCTTTCTCTTTCTAGACTCATAAATCTTGAATTTTCTTGTGCTCCACAGCACAAGTTCATCAGGATGTGAATGTGGGTGTGGACCATCCTAGCAGAAGCTGTGATACACCTTGCTGGGTAGGGAATGTAGATTTAAATCCCACTTTGTTGGAGCAGTTGTGCAGCCATGAGCCTGTCATCTAAAAGGTGGATCACTCCACTCCTCACTCTTACCTGAATCCAGTGATGCCTTAAGGTGACCACAACTGACTGTTTTATTTTGATCTTGACTTTGGCAGTATCAGTGTCAAATATCTCAGATTGGGACCCTTGCGTTGTTCCTTGAATTTTGATTTTGAAAGGTGGTGGCTTCCAAGCTGCTTGGGTTAGCAAGGTCATGGGAATGCCTAGGAAAATTTTGGTGACTTTAGGCTCCTTTAGATGAGGTGGCCAGAAAGAAATGGGCCTTCAATGGTATGGTTTTATTCAAGATTCACCATTCTGCCTATATCTGTCACTAATAGAGACAAGCTTTGCCCTTTTGCTCATTGATGATTGGCCATGACCAAACTTGGACGTTTCACATGTTTCTTTATAATCCACAGTTACATAACAAGAGCATGTAGACCAGTGAGTTGTTTATAGACTAAATGCCATGGATGAAAAAATGTTTTCTTGAAAATCAGTGACAAAAACTGCTTGTGGCTGTAATAGGGCTTATTTGAGGGTATGTTAGCTGTGCTGAGAGGTGGCCCCAAAGCTATGTAATATTGTTCTTCTCCTTTAGTTAAGTAGTTTTTCAGGTGGCTGTGTAACCACTTTCGATGTAGAATCATGTGAACAAGCATTAGCAATGTGTAATGCATTCT